TTAAATAAATAATAATACGGTATTTTGTACAAATTAAATAAATGTGCATAACTAATTACGGATTGTTAATGGAGCCCGAACCGGATATTGTTCTCTGTTGATTTATTTTACAGTCTAAAAGCATAATAGTATCTGATTTATATATTTTATGGTTTAAATGTATGTATTACTGCCTTACCTGACTACTATTTGATTTGAGATTTGAGACATGATTGCATTACTGGATACATGTTTATTTGTTTATGTGATTATGTTTGATTTGGTAATGAGGACTAAAGAAAAACAGGAAATGAGTGTGATCAAATAAACATATGGAATGACAGACTTACTAGATATCTTGGGAGATAGTGGACGGACTAGGTATATAGGGAATCCCACTGTAAATGTTATCTCATACCGGACGGAGTATGAAGACTTGGTAATTTGGCGCTCATACCGGACGGGGTATGAGGACGACCCACTTCACCTTCATACCAAACAGGGTAATAAGGTTTAATGTCTTGACGCTCATATCGGACGAGGTATGGGGACGACCCTGTAATTGAGATTGTTAAGGGAAAGGGTTCACGTGTAGCGGGGATACCCCTATGAACCCCCATGAATACTAGTAGGCTGGTAAAATGAGAAATGGTTATGATTTGGTTTATTGTTAATGGATATGAATTTATGATATGTTTTATGTTGCTGATTATTCATGAAGTTATGATCTGTATGGTATTATTGTCTCTATAGGTTGTTTTCATAAATTTCACTATGATAAGTGAACGGTAAATGATTTTATGATTGATAAATGAATTGCTAAATTTAGTGCTCCATTAGTTGTTTTGATTTTATACAAACCTTTACTTCTGTGCCGGTAATATAATGTGATATCCTTACTGGGCTAGTGTAGCTTCTTCTTTATTTAACCATTTCAGATCAAGAGGACCTGGTTCCAGAGTCCGATCTGCAAGAAGATTACGAGTAGATGCTAGATATTTTCTATTTTCCATTACTTTTCTCATTTCGTAATGTTGTTTAGTACTTTTGAGTTATTGTGTAAGAGATGTAAATCTTAACATTTTATTTTGCTTCCGTACTTAAATTATTATATATTTTCTTTTAGATTTTCGGGGCTGTTACACATACCACTTGCTTTTGATTTATAAAGACAGACAAATATGACATTTGGATTTTATTATAGAGTGGCGTTCTAACAAAGTTAGTTAAAAAAAAAAAAACAAACTTAAGAAGTATATAACTGATAGTTGAGAATATGAATTTAGAATCTAGAATATAGAGTATCTCTTTGACTTTTTCCCTCCGCGCCTTTATATAGTTTGAAAGAGTTGGGAATTTGTTAATGGTCATAATGTTACAATAACTTTACAAGTATAAGATAAACAATAATGCTATAAATGTGAGTAACAATAATAATAAAGCAAACTTGTAATTTTTATCGTTATTGGTGACTATTGCTAGAGCCACACCTTTATGCAGCTTGTCCATATTTGGTAACTCCTTTTAAATCTCGTGATATAGTTATGAGGTGTTCATTCTTTTCTTCAACGAAATATAAAGAGCAAAGCAGGCTTCTTAGACCTTTATTTACTGATAAAACTTGCTAAAATTTGGTTTATCCAATACTTCAAGTTATGGATGATTCCTAACTTGAATGTTGAAAACCATTTTCATGTCCCTTTCTTCAAGATGTAAGAAAGTCCTTTGCACAACATGGCCTTGTCATCCATATGAATTTTTATTTTATTTTTGTAATAATCGGGCAATTTATAGAATTTTTTATGTTATCATATTAGTTTAACTGTGGTAGCTTAAAATTTAATGAAACAAACTTCTTTTTTAAAATGTTATAGAATTTTACTCTAAATTGAATTTTGATGGAATAGCTTAGCTTAAAGTTTATTTAAATAGATCTTCATACATTTCCTTAAGTTAATCTTTCTTTAAGTTTATTCATCTTATTCTTTATTTGTTCAACTTCTTTCTATTGTTCTTTAAACCTCACAAAATATTGCTTCATATTTTTGCATTTTTTGGGTACCATGTCAATCTCTTCACTTCCTTTGTTCTGATTGATATCTTACATTTGAATGTTATTTATAATCTTCTATAAATTCGTCTCATGCTACTTGATAAGGGGTTGTTATTACTTCATCATATTTGCTAACTGTATTCTTCAATGACTTTATATTCTAACCTCGTTCTTGCACTATTGACGCAGGATTATCATAGTTTTTAAGATATCACATCGAAAAGAGGTGAATTCACTTATTTTTAACCATTGGAAAGTTTTGTCATATACTTTTTGTGCATTTTTACCATGGTTATTTTTTATTTCTCATAAATGATGCCAATTGATGA